GCTTATTTTGAAAAGCCTGACCCTGAATTTCCCCCACCAGCTAGAGGCAATGTCCCCTGCTAGGACAGGTTGTCACATATCCAAGATCTTGAACGTCTGTGCTTGTTCTTGCCCTTTTCTTTTTTTTTTTAAGCTTTTCCCTGCTTTACTGTGAAAGAAGAATCTTAGGGAGAGCTTATGAAGGAGAAAATTCCATTATTCCTGGGAGGTGATTTGGGGTCCCTCTTTGCCATCATGTACTGATTTGTTTTTCTTCATGTTTGTGTATTCTGATGGTTTTGAAAAAGGGAGTAACACACCCAATCCTAAATTTACTCCTGTCTCAATATGACTTTGTTTCCAGAGCCATCAAAGGAACCTTAGAGTAAACAAGGTATGTGTGGGGGTATTATTCTATATTTTTAATCTTCTTTCCGGTAAAAACTGCATGTGCCTTTGGAGGATAAAGTTAAATATTTACCCTAGGTTAACCATCCCTGTCTGCAGAGTTTATATTTTGTTGGAGTTTGGGCAAGCAAGTGGTATTTGCAAAATTCCTTGCCTGCCTCTGCTATTAGAAAATGCATTTACAAAGGCCTTTTTTATTTTTTTTTTCATCCTCAGAATATTTTTGATCAGGTGTGAGAACTTACCCAGTCTGGAAAGACATTGGATTAACATGTGACACTGTGGTAGGATTGTATTTGGGACTAGGTTCTTTTAGTTGCTAGTCAGGAACCTACATGAAACAGGACGTGAGGGAATATTCTTTGGATCTGTTAGCACTGAGGGCCTGGGGACTTTCCTTCTGTGGTTTTGGATGTCTTGAAATCTGGCTCATTCTGACAAGTCCAGATGACTACGTGTGGGTCCTGCATCCAGCTTGCAATGGGGTGAGCAGGTCAGAGGCACCGGGAAGAGCTGAGGAACACATCTCGTGTTCCTCCCAGAGGCAGGCGGAGAACATTTCTGCGATGGGGCTGGAGTCTGTCCAAATTGCTTGGCATCCCAGGCCCAACAAGTCTTCTTGCCAAGCTAAAGTCTGCATACCAAGGAAGTGCTCTAGGCCTTCCCACCTCAGCTAGCGTGCTGTGGCTCTTCTGAGGACTTCGTTTTGCTTGGTAGAAAACAAGCTCCCTCCCACGTGCTCTTCCTGAATTCTCCTCAGAGAAAGGCCACTCTGTAATACAGCCCCTTAGGACACTGCAGGCTGCCCAGAATGTCTCCATTTGGATGTTTGAGAGCATCTTTATTCAAGCTTCTCTTGAAAAACATGAATATACATTGCAATGTCTTTCTGCCCTCTTCCCTTTCATCTTGCTCCCTCCGCCCCCACCACGACTTTGAGGGATCAGTCTTCAAACTACTTCAAACCAAACCAGTTGTGGCACATGGGCTGATTGATGACTTCTCTCTAAGCCTACGGGAGTTAGGTCTACCAAGGACAGAAGGTAAACGGCACCCAGAACCAAGGAAGCTCCTGAAAGCTGCAGATGATGTTGTCAGTCCTAAGAAGAATGAAATAGAATCAGGAAGATAGAGGACAGGGAGGCAGCACAGTGAGTGTTCTCTGCACTCTTGCTGCTATGTGGTTTTGTGGGAAACGTGGCCTGAGGGCTACTCTGACCTGTGCCAAGTGAGCATGTAACAGATGTGAGACTCAAGGAGCTGCAAACAGGTCTTTGAAAGGCTTCCTCTCCTCCTCTAGCAAAGAAATTAAAATCTGATTTCTCTCAGACTTTGTAGGGGCCTTCTGCAGGTGTGGAGAATCACCAGCTCTGTTTCCTTGGGGCATTAGAATTAGACATTACATTTACAGAAAGCAATAGCTAGATTACAGATATCCTATTTTAAGTGCCCATCCCATGGATATGCAGCAAGATTGTGCTAGAATTCAACAGAGGGAATGGATGAGTAGTAGGGAAAAGGACACGTAAGCTTTTGCTCTGAGAGGTCCTGCTATCAACTTCCCTCAACAAAGCAGGAACATTTCTGAGGACAATGGCTCAAATTAAATCCTGCACTCTGCTTGCTTGGTGATGAAACATAAAGGGGAAGGATGTGATTGCCTTACAGCCATCAAGATTTTTCCATTCCTTCCACCGAGGATGGAATTTCAAATGGCTACCATCAAAAATTATTATCAAGCAGAACTTGATTGGACATCAGCATGACTGGAATTTGACTGGAAATCTTCCTTCCTGGGCCAGTGTTGAAAACTATATTGGCTGCTTCCTCATATAAAGCAAAAGGATTTTTAAAAATTTTGTTTAAAAGGAACTGGATTTTTTTTTCTGTGGTTACTAGTTGTTGTTGTTATTGTTTGGTTTTGATTCCTCTCCTGATTTCTGGAGGAAGCATTCTAAGCCCTGTGAAGGTGAAAGCCATTTAAGACAAAAAAAGAATCTTCAGGTTGCAATAGTAAAAGTCAAAATCCCTGATTTAGAAGCACCAGTGGGGTGTACATTGGAAGCATGCAGACTCGCTCACTGGAAAGCTCCCAAGATCTACAAGTGCTGAAATGAAAACATGACACAATGGATCAGTCAACGATTACTACTGAATAAGCCACAGGGCTTTGGGGTTAATCACTGCAGCCATCCATGAACTCTCACAGCGTGTGGAAAAACAGCTTTGCCTAGAATGTCTTGGGGTTGATGTCCATTTGTATGGTGGGAAGCTCATGTATTCCCTTGTCTTCTTCTTGACAAAACGTTCTGATTTTGAGGTATGTCAAGGAAAGAAGGAAAACTGTTTGGATCAGTGTTTGAATCAGGAAATCAAAAGGGGGGAAATAAAGGAAGGGGAAACTGGGACTCTGAATTCTCACGGTGTCGTTGACCAGGAAGCTTGACACAAGCATCGCTTTGTCAAAGTGTTCTTCTTGAAGTGTTGTCTATCACCAAACAGCCTTACCATGGGTTAAAAAACATTCATTGGGACCTACGATTTTGGAGGTGTGTGTTCCTTCAGGTCACCTGACTGTTCTCATGGCACTGCTCTCAGCAAAGTCAGTCCCAAAAGGTCGTGGTGTCTCTCCAAGAGAGGTGGAGTCTGCTGTCATTTTATATAGTGGAAAAGGTTCTATGTCAACTCTTGTGCTGATCTCACACACGTGCTGCTGCAAATGAGTTTTCCAATTTAATAAGTTCTTCTTGTTCACTCTTTTCTGATTTTCTCCCTGTGCTTTCATTTTGCATATGTGAATGGGATTTGTGCTCATTGTTTAGATTTATAATCTTTTCTCAGCTGAAACAGAGAATAAAGACTTTATATTTATGTATTTGTTTTATAATTTTCTGTTGTCCTTTCATTTCCCCTTTTCTCTTCCCCTTTTCATGGGTAAATGGAAAGAAAAAAGGGTAAGACCAAGAAAGAACAGCAGGGAAAAATGCAAGGGAAAAAAAAAAAGCGTGACATTTTCACAAGGAACGTTCTCAAAATATTAATTAAAAATCCATTTTAGTAATGCCTCTGATGGGGAAAGAAACAATTATGTTGTGTGGTTACTTTCTTATTATTCACAAACCTATTTGCAGAAAAAGACTCAAACCTGATTTTAAAAGATCTACAAAGCCTTTTTGTTCCTTTTGAGGTTTGTTGAACTGAATGTCTTTAGAACCATTTGCAGATGCTTGTTTTCTTGTTTAGCTTAGTCTCTGTTTATGATGGAACATTCATTCCCAGACTTCCACAAGCCAAGCCTTACTCATAGGGAAAGTTATTGGGAGAAAAAAATATCAAATCAATAAGAATATGGCTGGTACCTTGAGTCAAATTTCAGTGCAAGAGCAAGCTGCAAGTCAAGACTTTGCATCCAGCTCTGAAGTGGATGGTGGCAAACACAATTGCTTGTTGGTGGTGTTGTTATCTATCTACACATGGGCAATTCCCAGGAGTTCCAGCCATGGTGCTGCAATTTTCAGATCTATCCGTGAGATTGGAAAGTAGAAAACAGTCTTATTAAATCAGGATTATTGTCCCATCACACCCTGTCAGTCTCTTTAATTAGTGCAGTCTACTCGAAAAGCAGATGTGTGGCTGGTTGTTTTCACAGCGTGTTTTCTGCTAGGCTGTGCTTTGCTGATGTCAAGGGAATGAACTGAAATGGAGCCCCTGCTCGAGTCCAAACATTGGCCAGAGGTCGTGGAAGTGGCTCTGCGAGCAAACATGACAGTAGTGCACCCCTGGGGCTTCTGCCGATTTGAAAGCCCCCGGTGCCCTTTGTCAGCCCCTTGTGTCGCCAGAGACATCGTTTGCTCCTCAGAGAACCTGCTCGTGTGACCAGACTGGGTTTCAGCCCAGTTCCTCAAGGAAGCAAGCTCAGAGTGTCCGTGCCACTGATGACCAGGGACACCTGGGGATGTGTGTAAAGCATGGGGACATGGAGGTGACGTGATTGAACCATGGGGATACTGAGGAGACCCGTGTGAGTTATAGGGACATATAGGGGCATGTGTGAACTGTGGGGATCCTGAGGGGATGTGTATGAAGCATGGGGAACACTGGAAAAAGGTGTGTGAGCCATGGGGACACTGAGAGGGACACTGAAGAGACATGTGAGCTGATGGGGATGTGTATCGACCATGGGGATGCTGGGGGACACATGTGAGCTCTGGGACACCAAGAGGGCCACTGAGGGGACTTATTATGTGAACTATGAGGACACTGAGGGGATGTGCATGAACAACGGGGATACTGAAGGGGGAACCCGGGGGGGACACACGTGAGGTGTGGGACACCGAGGGGGCACTGAGAGGACACGTGCAGCCCTGGAGGGCGCGGAGGGCCCTCACACCGCCCGTGTGTGGGCCGAGGGCCGGCGGGTCGGTCGCTGGGCTGACGTGCCGCCCCGTCGGCCGGCGATGGCGCTGTGGGGACCCGGGCCCGGCGGCAGCAGCGGGGCGGGCCGGGGGTCACCGCCGTTCCTCCCCCGGGCGGGGCCGCCGCCGCCGCCGGCCCTCGGCGGGCGGGGCCCGCCGGCTCAGTGAGAGCTTGCGAGCGCCGCGCGGTAGCGGGACACGAGGAGCTGCCGCGCCGCGAGCATGGAGGAGGCGGCGGCGGGCGAGGACAAGGCGGGCCACGGCCCGAACGGGCACGCCGAGGGCCCGGCGGCCGAGGGGCGGCGGGGCGGCGGGGCCCGGCTGCGGGGCTGCCGCGGGTTCCTGCAGCGCAACGCGCTGGTGCTGCTGACGGTGTCGGGGGTGGTGGCCGGCGTGGCGCTGGGGGCCGCCGTGCGCGGCGCGGCGCTGGGCCCCGCGCAGGTCGCCTACCTGGCCTTCCCCGGGGAGCTGCTGCTGCGGATGCTGCGCATGGTGATCCTGCCGCTCGTGGTCTGCAGCCTGGTGTCGGGCGCCGCCAGCCTGGACACCCGCTCGCTCGGCCGCCTGGGAGGCATCGCCCTCGCCTATTTCCTGGGCACCACGCTGCTCGCCTCCGGCCTCGCCGTGGCCCTCGGCTTCATCATCCGCCCCGGCGCCGGAGCCTCCGCTCTCAACACGCCCGGGTTGGGGCTGCCGGGCGCGCTGCCCACCAGCAAGGAAACCGTGGACTCCTTCCTCGACCTCGTCAGGTGAGGCCGCCCCGCTCCCTCCTCCTCCCCCCGCCCTCCCGCCGCCGGAGGATGATGACAGACCCGGCGGTGTTGCACGCTGCAGCCGGCGGCCGGGGAACCCCCCCCCCACCGCTCCTTCTTCTCATCCTCCTTCTTCTTCTCATCCTCCTTCTTCTTCTCATCCTCCTTCTTCTCTCATCTCCTTACATCTTCTCATCCTCCTTCATCTCTCATCTCCCTGCATCTTCTCATCCTCCTTCATCTCTCATCTTCCTGCATCTTCTCATCCTCCTTCTTCTCTCATCTCCCTGTATCCTCTCCTCATCCTCCTTCTTCTTCTTCTCCTCCTCATTCTTCTCCTTACTTTTCTTCTTCTTTTCATCCTCCTCTTTCTTATGATCCTCCTCCTTCTTATCATCCTCCTCTTCCTTATCCTGTCTTTTCTCCCCGGGTACCTGCAGCCCGGCCTGGTGTAGGGCTGCACGGTGCTCTACCTCTCCCCGCTTTGTTTTTAATTTTGCCTGGGTGGCTGCAAGGATGAGTCGAGGCTTGCTCGGAGCTCTGGGTGCCTGGGCCCGTTTTTGGTTCTGCCTGGAGGGAGAGCGGCTCCTGGGTGCTCACTGCAGGGCAGGGATGGCTCTGCCTGGCACCTTCCCCTGCCCCGCTACCTGTTGTTGCCTGTCTCCCCCAGGCAGGGCAGGGCTGGGCAGCTCTCCCCATCCCTCACACACACCTCTTTCTTTTATTCCCCAGCACTGCTCAATCTCCTCACCTAAATGCTTGCCTGCCTTTTATAGTGCCCTCCTGTAGATGTGGGCATGGAAATGCAATACTGTATTTCCATCGAGGACATAACTGCAACACAGTCTGGCATGAGGACACGCTTTAGGTCCGTGGGCATCCCATCTCTGCGTCTTGCAGAGTAGACTTTCCTCAAGTCTGCCTGGAAGCAAGGCTTCCACTTCTAACCAGATCATAGTATTTTTGTTTATCCTTATTCCTCCTTGAAAAGTTGCGAGCTTCACCTTTTTTTTCCCCCTCAAACCCTTTTGAAATCTGCCTGGCTTTTTAAATAAGAGTGTAGCACTCACACAAATGAGGTGAACATCCAGCTGGTGTTTTGAGAATGCGAATTCCAACTGCATTTCCTCGTGCTTTGCACCAAAGTGCAAACAGAGGTGTATGAGGGGGGTGACCTGCATCACAGTGAAGTGGCTGGAAAGTTGTGCTTAGTGGATATCTTGCTAATTAAAACACTGAGTGGGGAGTTTTCATTTGGATTATTTGCTTTCTTTTATGAGTTCAGCTTTTCAGCAGAGAGACTTTTTTTTTTTTGTTGTGTCTGGGTAAGTGGATGTGGCAACAAAGATAAAATAGTCTCTAAAAAAAATTACCCCAAACCCAGAACTGTATTTACAAATTCAGGTTAATGTCCTTTTCTTCCCCAGAGAGAAGTATGTTCCCTTTGGACTGAAAGTAAGTCTGGTTTGTTCCACTGGCAGCCATGTACTTAGTGTCCTCAGCTCACCTCTCTTGAGAACCAACTATTAAGGATCTCTCTTCAGGGCCAGCAATTCCTGACAGCATGTTAAGAAGGAGTAATAGGATAGTGGGAGTAGATGGTCTGTCTGTGAAGGTGACATGGAGTTCAATAGGAGTGTAGGCAGGTAAAGGAAAATTGCCAGAAAAGGAGTCAGCACGCTGTGGAGAGTTGGGAAGACAACTGTAGTGGTGGCTGCCCCAGGTGCATCCTGGTGTGGCTGCTGTGGCTGGTGTTTCGTTCCTGTGTCACCGTGCAGCACGGAGCAGGATGTAGTTGGGAAACAAGGCAGAGATGCTCCAGCAAGCTTCAGGCTGTGGGTAATATCTGTGAATTTGGGAGCAGGCAGCTGTTTCTTACCCTGGTCTGTAAATGCAGGTGGAGAGTTCCTCTTCGAAGGGGTTATGATGGTGATGGGATTGAGTCCCTAATTCCAAAGCAGTGCTCGTGAAATGCTGAGACTTGCGTAGGGCATATGGGTTGCAGAAGAATTTCCTTCTGGGAAATGAGGGGACAGGGGTCTTCCCCCAGTGCATGTACAGTGGGCTGTGAGTTCAGCCCCAGGGGAGGGCTGTTGCAGCTGCTGTGTTGGACAGTCCAGTTGTCACAGCAATTACAGTGGAATCCAGTCCAGAAAAGATGATTTTGGACACAGCCATCGTTTAAACTTTCAGTCTTAGCACAATTCCCCGACAGACCGAGGGATGAAGTAAGTATGTGACTTTCAGGAAATAAGATCTCTCTCTCCCTCTGCCATTTAATATTATTTTTAACTGTTCTTGAAAATGTGGGTGTTCTTGTTCGAGCACTGAACTCAGTCCCTGTTGTGATGGAAGTTACTAGAGTAACCTCATCTTCAGACAACAAGGCCTTGAGTCTACAGGACCTGAAAGACTGAAGTCATTCCTTTTGGTGTGGGTGATTCTTGCAGTGTCCTGCTCTCTGCTTCTCCCTTTCTCTCATTTGGTCATGAAACTTTCTATTAGACACGAGAAAACTTTGTTTTCAGTTGTGTCACAAGATTGACCGTATCCTTCAAGGCTTTGCTGCTGCTTGGTGTCAGAGAAAAGGTAAAAATGAGTTCCACATGGGTAAACTGAGTCCCCCTACAGCACTGAAAGCAGCTGTAAAACACGGCCCAAGGAAGAGACAGCAAAGAGGAAATCACAGTGTTAGTCACTCTTCGCCATGGCTTCTGCAGGGATAACACTGGGTTGTCCTTTCCTGGCATGCAGATCCTTTCTGCCTTTGGGAAGTCTATTAGGTAACGACCAAAGGTGTTGATTTTCATGGTTGCAGCCATGTCTGGAGGCCAGCTTAATTCTTGGTCATGATTTTCCTTTTCCAAGTCTAAAGCTTCCCCACAAACACTCATCTAGGCATGGAGACCCAGCCTCTGGAAAAGATATTTACCATGGGCTTTGGTAGCAAATGAATGATGACTCACTGGTGACCAGAAAGGCTGTCTCTGATTTGTTTTGTCCATTGACTGTAACCTCCAGCCAGGTCTGATCTGGTCTGGCTGGAGCTGCTGGAATACCCTCCTGGTTTCCCTTCTGGCAAGTGCCTGAAGCAGGCCTTGAGCGTGCCTAGTCAGGGCTTAGGCACACTGTCCTCTGCCCCAGCACATGGGGTGGGGACAGCAGAGCTGCCATAAGGTGCCCTTGTGCCCCACAGCAGGGATGCTGATGGCTCATCTCATCTCAGGTCTGTCATGTGGGCAGCTCTTTGGAGCAGAGCCGTGGCCAAAGGCAGTGATCATGGGAGGGATCCAGCAAGAGTTCAGAGGTGCATCTACAAGGCTGATGGCTTAAAAAAAAAACACCCAAAAAGCGGGGTGTTCTCTGAACTCAGCAGGGGACCTTGGAATTCCTTAACTCTGTCCCACATCAGTGAAGAAAATTTGGCTTCTCCAGAGGACCCACTGTGGGCTCTTACCTTAAGCCAGGCACTGGTGCACTCTTATTCCACGTGGTCTTAGCTGAAGGTGGGCCTTGTGAGCATCTCCAGAGCATCTGACATGGAGAGCTGCTCGTTTGTACCAAATAGTCGAGCACGGAGTGCCAGCAGAAGGGAAATTTTAGAATTTCTGTTCTTTTCCCCTGCTCATTGGTTTGGTGGAGAAGATAAAGCAACAGAGAATAAAGAGCACTTGTGCGCTTGACTGTGAAGTGGGTAGCAGGTGGAGGAAGAGGCTGGTTGTGATATGCTGGGCTCTTGGGCTCACACCCACCTGAGTAGGTGATGTTGCCGAGAGCCAGCTTGGCTCTGATCCTGCTGGGCACCTAATCAGGGAGGAGGAGAGAGAGTGGGGACAAGGATGGGACTCCTGCCACCTGTTAACAGCTCACCTATAGCTAGTTATAAAGCAGTTGAAACAGCAAGGTGAAGTGTTTTGCAAAAATCTACCAATTTGCTAACACTTCTGAGGGGCAATTGTCGCGACTGCATGTTTTGATAAGGTCAGTTTTGTTTTAGCTCTGATTTATATCTGCTGGTTGAACAGAATTGAACAGTTTCAGAGGAGCCTATTGATCCTGTCAAAATTTCCATCAGTGGGTGACCCTGACATTTCATTTCAGTGAGGTCAATGTTTTGCTGTAAGTTTATACAAAAGGCTTAAGTAGAAGATCTCAGTCATTAAAAAAGGGAACATTTCAACAAAGTATTTTACAATATTTTTTTCAAGTGGAAAAAAAAGGTCTGGAACAGGCTTTCTTTGCCCAATTTTGGGATGAAAACATGTTTTGAAGCTGTGGAATTGGCATTGGGAAGGGAATTCTGTTTTTAAACCAGCCCTAGCTGTAACAGTCTGGGGAGGGAAGGAGGAAGTAGCATCATCCCTTTTTTTATAGGAAGGGTGCACAAGGGGCCACACGTCTGCCCCAAGCAGTAAGGTCAGGGTTTCTCAGCTTGCCAGGAAAGTCTACAAAAGCTATTTAAATTTTGCTGCTCCTCACTGCCCTCTCTGCTTCCGTGCCAGGTGTTACCAGCTGTGCTGCTGAAGGCAGTACCCACAGCGGTGTCAGTGAGCCCGTGCCTTGGCTCTGAGCACCTTTGGAGCCACAGGGAAGGCAGACACGAGCACAGGGAGTAGCATCAGTTGTGTTTTGCTGTCTGGACTACAGAGCAGCTGGCCAGAGTAGACCATGGGATCCAGAGCACTCGTGCAGTGAGTGACCCTCTCCTGGGCACCAGTTGCTCCAGTAGCACTTGTTTCTTACGGCCTTGGTGTTCCCAGTGAGTCACCCAAAAGCAGCAACCATTAAGGCTGTCTCTGAAGTCCCAGAGTGGAAAGAGAGTAAAACGTGACTGTTAGAAGAGGAGAGGGAGATGCTGCCTTTGTAGTCATAGATAGAATAAAAATTGGCCAGGGAACAGCTGCAGTTGCACCAAGAGATGGGCTGACCACTGCTTTTCAAAGCTGATGGCTAGTTCTTAACTCGGGGGCACCCCCAGAAAGAAAGGGAAATAAATGTTACTGTCCCCCTTGGCTTGTGTCATTTTCCGAGTGTGGAATCTCCCTTGAAATGCAGGGACTGCTGACTGATTTTTGTAGGAAGAACTCAGTGTTTTCATCCATTTGCCTGCACTGTCTAGTGGGAGGTTTTTTGGTAAATCTCTGGACATTTCTGCTCCTTTCTTTAGTTCTTTATAGTGGTTGTTGCCTTTTACTACTGACTCATCTCCTTAGTTTTGTTTTCAAAGTAACAAAAATGCAGACTGGACCATTAATGCAAAAAAGTATCAGGTATTTGCTATACATTTTCATCTTTCTCTGTGTTGAAACAAATGCACGCACTGAGAAATATGTGTATGTCCAGAGCATGTATTGAGCACCCACGTACGTATCAAAAAGCAGATGAGAAAAAATGCTGTGTGATAATGAATGGAAATCTTGGGACAGAAAGAAAAATAAAGGTAGTGTAGGAATTCAAACTGGGCTTCGTCATTTTGCCACAGATGGCAAGAAAGTTGCTGTGAGTGGACTCGTACCATTGAAAACACTTCATTGGAAAAAAAAACAAAACTGGAGATAATGCAACACAGAATATTTTTTTTTTCTAGGCACCCTCGCGAAAGTATGTTTTCCAACAGCAAGGTTTTTGGCATCGGAAGTGGAATCTTTTTGCAAGAAGCTATGCAAGAGGAATGCGTAGTATTTTAGGGTTTCATTCTACTTGTCTGGATATCCCTTCACGCTTTTGCTGCCAGAGCAACGTTGTTTGCAGAGCTCTAGCAAAAGCATCGTTTAGAAACAGTTATTAATAATAATCCCTTACACATACAATGAAGGAGTTCCTGTGGAATCCTTATCCTGCTGGTGGAAAGATGCAGGCCTGTAAATAAGAGAGCAATTTGACCATAATGTCAGAATAGAGAATGGGGGGAGCTACAACCCCTCTTTGCTCCCTTAACAGCTCCAGGTTCCCTTAGTTGTCTGGGATTTCCAGCAGCAAATGTTGCAGCTAAACAAAGATTTCTATTGCAACAAAAATACAATGGGACCTTCCTGCTAAATTTGATTAGGGGAGTAATGGTCCCTTTTTGTCTGGTAGGAGCAGCTTTTCACTGGAAGGAAGGTGCACTTTTCCAGCTGTGCCCAGGGAGATGGTGTGATGAGCACAGCATTCAGGCAGAAAATATTCACCCACTGGCTGCCCTTGGTGCTGCTGCTTTCTAATTCCTATTTTAAGAGGATCTGAGAAGGGTGGTTTCTCACACTGTGTGTTGTGCAGGTACCTGGAGGTTTCCTGGCTCGGCCCAGCTGCTGCTGCAGCCCCAGGGCACAGCTGTCACCCTCGACAGCTGTTCAATGGATTTCTGATACGGGGCTTTTTGAGGCTGTCTGTGCAACTTGCAGCAGAGAAGGGCTCTCCTGCCTGGTGCTTGCTGAGGGGAGTAAAGTCCCTCTGTAGAACCACCTGCTTCACTTTTGATGCCAGAGAGGAGGTTGGGTCTGTGCGTCTGTGGAGCGAGGTTCTGGCAGCAGTGGAGCACCTGGGATGCATGAAGAACCTCTGTCCCCCTGCTGTCATGTCAGGGGTCCCCTGTCTCATTCTGGCCACATGCAGCAGGTTTTGTCTTTGTGCATCACGGGGCCAGGGCTCTCTGATCCCACACTGCTGTGCCGGGCTCCTTATCACCCAGGCTCAGGGTTCCCTCAGCGTCACGTTTGTGCGATAATCCACATCTGCTTCGAAAAGACAACCATGTTGTCTGGCACAGAGTATGGAAACAGCAGGAATGGAGCCATTAGAAACAGTCAGCAGTCCAGTGATACAACCTGCTGTGAAGTGGGTAGCAGGTGGCAGAAGAGGCTGGCTCTGGTATGGTGGGCTCAGGGGCTCGGCACCTGCCTGAGTAGGTGACATTGTAGAGAGCCAGCTTGGCTCTGATCATGCTAGGCACCAAACCAGGGAGGAGGAGAGAGGTGGTGACAAGAATGGGACTCCAGCCCCTTCCTAACACAGCTCACCTAAAGCTTTCCCTGTTTCCCTAAATTCCACGTCCACATTTGCTGTGAGCTTTCGAAGCAAAAAAAACCTTCTCAACATTTGGTCCTCACAGAAAAATCAGCTGGCAGACACCCACATTTAATTTGCATGCCCAATTACCCAGCTCATCAGCTTTCCTGTTTGTTGGTTCACCCTCACAGGAGGGTTTTTCACACTTCCCCGTGTGACTCCTCTGCTTGGGGACACCCCGAATGCTGGCTCGCAGGGACAGAGCTGTCTGGGTTTCTGTGGTGGGTGAACTTTGCCTTGCTGTACATGATGAGCAAACCCTGCAGGCACAAGTATATGATGGGCCCAGGCAGGTCACCAGCCAGTTTTTGGCTCTCCTCAGAGCACGCAGCATCCTGCCCTTTTTTTTTTTTTAGGCATTGCTGTGGTGTTCTTGCACAAATCCATCCAAAGGTAAGAACCTGTGATCTGACCCACCTGTAATTAAAGTTGAATTTAATTCACATACTGGCTGAGCTTAGGTGAGCAATAAGTGTAGTATTTGTAGACCTCATGCCTCCAAGGTAAGCCATTTATTTGTTGATTGCTTTTTGTGACCCAACTCATTTTGTTCTTAAAATTCAGGACCCGAAACAGAGAGGAGCAAAACATTATTTTATGTGGTTCTGGTATTTTGCAGCCAGGTGTAGTTATAAGTTGGACTGAACAGAACACACAACTTCTGAGCTGCTTGACTAAGATCCAGATTTTTTTACTTGATGAATTGTTGGAAATGCTCTTCTTTGCCCTCAGAGCCAATTCCTGTGACTGGTGCTGGAGTGATAAAGTATGTGCTCTAGGTTCTTATAAGAGTAGCTTTACCAGTATTCACACTTGAAGCAAGAACCTGCCCTTTGCCTTGCTGTAACAGGATTGCTGGATCACTCAAGTATGTGCTTTAAGTATATGCTTGGAGATAAGTTAGTGTTTAATTAGTGAGGCCCATGCCTGGCATACTGTGCAAATTGTGGAGGGTTTGGTTTCTTGGCCATGTTTAAACAGTGGACAACCGTGTTGCTTAGGCTTTAGGATTGCTTCCTTTGGCTTTGTTTTCATCAGAATGGAAAAGCTGATTTAAAGAAAAAAAAATTGATTTCTGGTTGGTTTTCAGTCTTTTTTCATCTCTTTGCTTCTTCAAAGTCCAGTCAGTTCTTTTTTAAAAAAAAAAAAATTTCCCAACAGCATGGGCCCATTTGTGTATGTGATATTTTATTCCTGATAACAGCAAGTTTGCTTTTAGTTTCCTCGAGGTTTTTATCCACCAGAGAGTTCCAGCTGTGCAAGCACTGATGCACATTAGCTGTTCCATTGATCTTATTTGAGCAATTCTTAAGTGCCTTTGCAGAGAGTTATAGCTCGCTCTCCTGCTTTTGGACAGACAGCTGTACTGTCAACTTTTGAGGAGAAAAAGTTGCTGTTTCTTTCGTCCTCAGTGGAATGTGGACTCCAGCAGGGAAATTATTCTTAGAGCAGTTTGGCTTTTGCAGCTGTCTCCTAATACACTTGTAGTGCAACAGAGAGGGAGGCTGAGGTAGTTCACAGCAGCCACGTGTTTGGTGAAGTTCCATGTACTTTGCAATTGCTGTCAAGGCTATGGGAAAACTCCCTGTGTGGCAGGAGAATGGAGCTATGCAACCAAAAAAGTCCTTATCTGGGCCATATTTTAATCTCCCTCTTGCTTTCAGAAAAAGGTTAAACTCTGCTGCTCTGTTTCTTGCTGTGGTTCGGATTCGCACGTTCCATGTCATTCGTGGAATGACCACTGCCGAAATGCCATGTTTGCCGGGGTAACTACAGCAAAAACACAGGGACCATTAGCAGGGCACAGCCTGGAGGCACATGCAGTGTCCTTGGAGCAGAGCAAGGAGCAAAGGATGGGGAGCAGCTTCCCAAATGTTTTTTACCAGAGTTAACTGTCTCTGGGTAAGGTCTTCTCTGTCCTTACCGTAAGAGTTCTTGTGCCTCCTTGACACCTTCTGCTGTCAGTATTTTCAGTTCATACCTATCATCACCTTTCTGCCCTCGCTAGCTAGAGTCCTGCTATGACCCCAGCGATCAGATTTTATTCCTGTTTTCCTTTCTGACACAGAAAAAAAAGAAACTGTCGTTTGGCTAGGGGAACACGTGCTTTTTGCCCAGCATTAGGGGAGAAAGGAACTGTAGCATTAAAACCAACTCTAAAGTATAACAAGAAGCAACTTTTTCCCTACTCGGCCCAGTTCGCCATTTTCCTTTCCTTGCTGCCTCCTAGATGGAGTAATACACTGGATGCCCAGTACAAGTGCATGTCACTTTGCATGCTGTCCTCTCTGCACTAACTGCAGCTAGATTTGTATTTCTGTGGGAAGATGTTGCAACTTTCCATAGGAGTTGCCTCTGCTTTCCATCGGTGTTGTCCAAGCCCTTGTGGAGAAGTCTGGCACGTGATGTTGCCCTGCTCTGCCTCAGTGTTCGGGGAAGCTGACCTGGTTGTGTTGAATGGTTAAGCCATTCTCTTAAGTGGATTTTGCTGATGGGATGTTGAGCTCGGTGTAATCACATGAGTAATGCTAAAAATCTGCCTGACACTGGAGGCCGTAAGCTGTTGCTGCGGCTGGTGTGGCTGAGCCAGTTTCTGTAGCCACTGGCTGATGGGTGTGTATAACCAGCATCGTGTCTGATTGCCTCTGGTGGCCCTACCCAAATGGTGAGGTTGGCAGACAAGCAGGGACCTTTTTATGTGGGCCAAAGAAGATGGTACCCACTCCTCTGGAAACATTGCACGACATCTGCTCCATGCTACCAGATTATCTTCTGTACTACACACCTCACTGGTGCCCACATGCTTGCCTTTGCAAAAGGAATTCTGTTCCTGGGAGCAAAACACCTTGGTGCGTTCATTTTAGAATTTCTACAAGAAATACTTAATTTCTTTGTTTGTCTTTTACAGAAACCTGTTTCCTGCAAATCTTGTTGCTGCAGCTTTCCGAACGGTAAGATACATGTGGACCTTGGACATGAGCTACAGTGCACAGGCAGAGAAAGTTACTGCTCTTTTTTTGCAAGAGAGCTAAAAATATGATGTAGAAAATACCAAAAGTTAATTTACTTATATAACTGGACTTTTTAAAAGCGCGTGACGTAATCAGACTTAGAACTTCCACGACAAATAGTTTGATTTCTGAAAAATATTCATCAAACAAAAGCATATTCAAAGCTTATCTTTTGTACCTTCGCCAAAAATATTCTTTAAACTTTGGGTGCTCTGTTGGGCAGCAGTGGCAACTCTGCTTTGTGCCAGGCTGCCTACCACTTTGCAGGAGCTAGCTGGCAAACCCTTGGGTGCATAGTTTAGAGCTGGGCTCAGAACAGACAAGGCTAAAGACTTGTAGGCTCCCACGTGTGTAAGCATTACCTGTTGCCTGATGCTTTTATTCAGTATTTTCCATCTTATTTCTTGCTGGATTAATTGCTCAGCCCGGCTTCTCTTCCAACAGAGAGTGTGTGTGGTAGGGTGATAACTGGCACCAGAACATAGTGTCATTTAATGGACAGAAGCTGTAGGGCTACAAAAAGATTTTTTTTTTAGTTCTCATTGCTAATTTTAGATGTCAGAATAGATAGTGTTGAGAATATTGCTATGGGGCAGAGTGATTCTTCATGATACAGGAGTGGAATAATACCTTCATGGTGCTCTGTTGGTTTGCTTTCGTATCAGAACAAGGTCAAACTCTTAAAATCAAGTTCCATTTTGAGTGAATATATAATACAGTACAAGTCAGTAGTTCCATGAGTAAAAGCAGAAGCAGTACAAAAATAACACAGAGAAAAGGATATTCTGTGATGCCTCGAGTGTTCTGTGTGTTCAGGGATGAAATAAAGCAGTCCTCTTTTCTTCTGTGCTGCTCTTGTCACAGGGAATTGGCTTTTCTTTCCCTCATTTTATAATTAAAGAAAGCAGGCCCAAAGAAGTGCCCTACTTTGGAGGTGTCTAGCTTATTTATCAAAGTAAACTGTTGCCCTAGATTTTAGATGTTTTACTGACAATTTTAATGCCTGTCTCACTATTTTTTGGGTTTGTTTGGTTACGTTTTTTTTTCTTACCTGCAGTATGCGACAGACTATAAGATGCTGCTCAGAAACACTACCTCTGGAAATGTCACGTTGGAAAAGGTAAGGTCACTTCTTAGGTTTTTAAACAAGCCCTTGACAGCTGTAATATTTGACTAGTTCAAAGTCTGTAATCCTTTCCAGCAATCACTGGAAAGAAACAAGTACTTTTCTTTTCCTGGAGCTGAGACACACAAGGTAGATGAGTTATCCACAGCCACTCAACAAATCTGTGATGGGGAGGGGAGTTGAGCTCAACTGGTCTGACCCATGACACATTATTTTTTTAGGCCATGCTTTCTTAGACCTGGTCTCACTTGATCCAAATTTTGATTAGTTACTGCCTCATGTTTTTAAATAGCTTTTTGTAGACTTGGCTGGCTGATTATGTCCCTTAAACCTTTATCTTCATTAAGAGTTTGGAGAGAATGGGCTTTTTGCCACTACCCAAAGCTGTTTAAAAAAACCCAGAAAATAATTTAGTTGAGACTTTTTTTTTTTAGTGGCCATGCTGCTGAAATTTTGTTTGAAGCTGTAACAAGTGAGCTGAAGGAGTAAAAATTACAGACAGAACATTACAAATAGGCTGTTACTGGAATGGTCTCAAAAAGGATACTGATTTGTAGGTGTAGATGAGGTAGAGAGCATTATCTTCCATATGTAGCTTGTAGGACTTCAGAGATGCTCTGTATCTCATTGAGTGGCATCTCTCCTGCAGCTTGGGTCTATCAAACATGTTTGTTATTGGCCAGAGCCAACATGTTGCAGGTCCAGCAATAATTACAGGCAGCATGTTGTGACGCAGACCCACTATTCCAGCCTGCAAGGTGTCTCCTTGCTCCAAATGAAGTATCTCATGTGCTTTCATTGGGTTTTTGGGGAGACAGGTCTGAGAGATTACTTTCAGGGTTATTTTCTCTTCCTCAGGCTCATTCTGACTATCTGAGCTCAGTATCAGATGTTGGGTTGCCATATTTTTATACGATTTGAATGCCCTTAGGGCAAGAGACTTTTAATGTTTGCATTTGTCATGGCAGGGCTCATCTGGGGCTCGCCCACTAGTTTGTAAAATCATCAAGGAAAAAGCAGTTTATGATCATCCAGAGGGACTCTGGAGCATATCCCCGGGTGCAGGAAGTACTGGCTTCATTACCTTTTCCTCCCCACGCACGGTGTGTGAGCAGGTGATGCAGAACAGAGTGTTTACGAGCTGAACTGATGGGCTGAACTTTCACCAGCCCTGGAGACAGAGTGACAGGTGACTTGGCTGACGCGTGAACTGAGCAGGGGAGAAGTTATCCCTGACACCACATGGCGAGCATTTTCACTGTGGGAGGAGGCAGCTCCATCCGCCCGGGCTCTGCCCGTGCCTGTTGGGTTGCATTAGCCCAGATCCACACTCACCCCTCCTGACACGGATGCGCAGCAACCACTGCGGAATCCCTAAAGGGCATGTTCTCCTTTCATGGCATCATGTCCTTGGGCAGTACATGCCCCTGCAGCTTCCTGCAGCTAAAAAACAAGTTCAGTATGAAAGGCTATAGCAATGCGCACTTAGCTTTGTGTGTTTTTTATAGAGTTTTTCTGCATTTAAGTAGAAGCAAATAAAAGGGAAATAAGACTCTTCTATTCATCTTCAGTGTCAAGTTTGATACAGGCTCCTTAGCAACCAAGCGTAGATTAAGGCTAAACATATCCATTGAACATAGTCTTGGCTGTCAAGTACTTTTTTAATGTTTGTTCGAAGCCATCACTCTTCCTTAAGAGAGAAGAATGCATCTCTTGGCAGTTTAAATGCTGAGATTATTTTTCAGTTTTCTTCTTTCTTTTTCCTGTTATCAGTCTCCTCTTTGATGTAATATCAGGGAAAATATTCTGAATTTGTCACTGGTGCCTGTTTTTGCCAACAGTTATGATGTAAAGGTTATTTCCGCTATTGCTTTTCCAAAACCTTTCTTCAGTTGTTGGAGCAAAACCAGAGCTGAGCTCCTTTAATTCCAGAAGACGCCCTACTGTCTCTAGGGATGAATGGACCAAATAAAAAGAAAGCATCATCTCAGTTTTGTCAGCTCAGTTTCAGTACTGGTCTGACCATAGTATTTGTGGATAGATGAGGATTAAGTTTGGAAAGGAAGAGTATGATTTTTGGAAATCATAGTGATAGAAGTTTGGTTCCAGGGAAGCAAGATGATATTCCTGCTTTTTTTATTTCATCAGCAGAATATTTGATTGAAGAGAAGAAATGTTTTCCTTCAACTTTCCGTATGAACAGTGTAGACCAAAATTTTCCATTGATTATATTTCTTTCCCCCTGCTGGTTGTTAGGCCCTGTCTTCTCTTGCTGATGAAATGAATAGTGGATATGTAGATGTTTGCTCAGCCATGTCCTTTTTGTTGTTTCACATGCTCACCTCATGTTTACCCAGCTTTTATGGCTACATCCTCTCTGCTGCTTTGGCAGAAAGGCTTCCTGGGGCATGGACTATCTCAGTTCCCCATCTGTAGCACGGGGAGGCTTGGGGGAACTCAGTTCCTCTTCAGGCAGCAGTAAAAATACACAAACCAGTGGTTGCTCTTCTTCCTCACATCACATGGCTGCATTTTCTTTTCAGCCACCTACTACTGGGACAGTTCAATGTCAGCAGTTGTTTCCTTGATAAGCATTTTGTTTCAAGAGCTAAAATACAATAAGATCTTCAGAGGGATTCAAGGACCAGAAGAGCTCCATGAATCTTCCTACCAGAACGCATAATTTCAGGCAAACAATAACGTGTCCCATAGTTTGTCCAGGAACAAAGTCCTCATTAAAGCTGTTTTTGTTTGGTGTTCACAATGCTGCTTGGTTTGGCAGCCCCTTTGGGGTGATGCACTTTTCTGCTGGAGTACAAAAAGGCTGTTCAGCATCTGCCAGTATTAGAGGCTGGGATTGAGAGGATCTTCCGCTGAAGATTTACTGCTGGACTTGTTCCACATTGTGCTGCAGGGAGGTGAAATTCCCTGAATGCTGCAGATTGTCCCCTTGATTTGCAGGCAGAAATTTCTTGCAATAAGTTACTACTCCATGCAAGTAATTGCATCTTCTGCCTACAACTGCAGTGATGGGAGAGAGAAACAGAGAGCAAGACTTGAAAGTGGAAAAGTTTCTGAGAAGCCCAAATGGTAGTGGGTTGCTGGGCTTCAGACTCACACCGCTGCATTTCATGAGATGAGAAGCAAATCCCTGGTAGAAGGAGTTTAAAGAGTGGAGATCCTTTGCAAGACATCAGTATAATGCAGTATAGTTAAATTCCTTCTCAAGAACATCCAGGTTGGAATGCTGGGCTCTTTCAGTAGCTTGAAACACTGAATTTCTGCACCATAGCAAAGTTTTATATCAATTTTTTTTTTAAGAATGAGAACCAAACCAAAAGAATATTCAATGTTTTTAGGATAGTTTTATTTGTGGAAAGAGTTTGTGGCCATTATGGTAAAATTCCATTCCAAGCTGAACTTTTCATGTTAACCTTGTATGAAATGAATCCAGTAGAAGATGTTATATTATAAAACAACATCCCATGTACACAGACAGTTTATTCACTTAATAAGAGGGTGTCGTTTTTTTTGTCTTTTCTAACCACTGAAGAGTTTAGGGTTTTCAGACACACAAACCAGAATATAGCCAAAACTATCCAGGCAGGAAAGTGTTACTGTGTGTGGAGGAAAGGGCACCTTTCTCCAGACATCCCTGGAGATACACTGTGCCTAATGCTTAGTATCTGTCCACCTTTTCAGGTCTTTCAATTGGAAATCAGATAAATAGTGGCAGCTTTGCCCGGAGCAACCATAAAAAAATTGCAGATCCCATATTTAAGTATTTTGTATTAGCAAATAAAAAAGTCAGCACCTTCACTGTTTGTAAACACTTTTGTTAACAGCAGTTTAGCCTTCCAGCTTTTGTGTATGATTTATGTTTTACCCCCTTCCCTGCAGTGCTTTGTTTCCACCTGCCATTGAGAGACAGTCCACTTCAGTGGTATACTTCCAGCAAAAACATCATCTCAGGCAGGCTGGTTTTATCAGATTTACCAGATCAGTATCCCAAATTCTTTAGTCAATACTCATTTCAAGCTTTTAGCTCAGAATATATTTTTCTTTCCTAGTGTTGAGCTAGTGTCCACTTAAACCAGCCAAAAGGCCAAAACTTGTACGCAAACCTCATCTGTTATAGAAGTTCTTCCAAATAAAACAACAATTTGACATGTTGAGCCTGTACTGCCAAGTCGAAGAGGGAAAAAAAAACCAGTTTGTCAAAACAATTATATTTTTATGTAGCCACAAGAGTACTCATTCAGTTCATATGATACTACATTGCCAAACAGGCTCCAGCTCTCTTTGAGAAACAAACCATGAAGGACTAGCAGAGCAGACTAGTTTTTGTAAATAGGTGGATCCTGCTTTTATCCTCTTACCATGCAGTGACATGATTTCTGAGAGGGGGAACGGGTATCTCTTCGGTTCTCTCTGTATCTCTCACAGCCAACATGGACAGGTTAATGAGCAGGTTGTCACAGTATGTTGCCTTTCTCTGCCCTTTCCCCCTTTTCTCCTTCATAGCATAGTGTTGGTTGTTTTCTCATGGGTTTCATTATTGCACTAAAGTCCTGAGTAAACTGGGGATTTGTCCTGCTCAGGTCACTGAGAACACACATATCATGTTGAAGGGCATGAGAGGGGGTAGTAGCAGACCCTTTCCTTCTCCAGTGAATCCATGCCAGCTCATGGCCAGAGAGGTTTGTATGTGAGTTGCATTCAGATCGTTTGATCAAACAAAATAGGTTCTTCCTTCCAAAATAGGTTCTGCTTGTTGACTTCAGATCAATTGGGCAGCAACAGAATGGGGTGACCGTTTTGTTACGTTCTTTGCTGATCTCACATCTAACAAGCCATCTCTTTTTTATCTCTGCAGATCCCTGTCGGTACTGAGATTGAGGGGATGAACATCCTGGGACTGGTGCTGTTCGCTCTGGTTTTGGGAGTGGCCCTGAAAAAGCTTGGCCAGGAGGGGGAAGATCTGATTCGCTTCTTTAATTCATTCAATGAGGCGACCATGGTCCTGGTTTCCTGGATTATGTGGTAAGTGTGTGGCTGCAGGTGCACCTTTCAGTACAACATTATGTTCAGGGAACTCACCATTTATCTGTCCATCTGGCTTTTTCCTACCAGATCCCTCATCACAGCAAAAGTGAATGTCGTGGTATCGCTCTATGGGGTCTTTCCGTCTTGCTCATGCCCTGTAATTAGACAATCACTCATAGCTTAAGGTATCAGTCAGAAAAACTTTAGACATTTGTTCATAATTCCTCTGTAGGACTCCTTTTTTGATTAATTAGTAGAAAGAAAGCTTTCTGTTTCCTGAAGTTGACTGTTTACTTTTTCTCTGGCCTATTAATGAGCAAGTCCATTATTTCACTTAACTTCCCTGGAGTCTAGACATGTTTATGGGCTGAATGTTGCTCAGACCCATCTCACAAAGCTTGTGGCACCAAAAAAGGTCTGTATGTTAGGAACTGGAGCGCACTGAACTTTCTCCCTAGTCAAGAAACCAGCATTGAAGGAGGCAGGCACCTCTAGAGGGTGGTTCAGGCCAGCTAAGCCGGGGTAGGAGCAGCCTCCTGACAGGGCTTTCTGTCAGGTAGGATTCCTGCTGTTTTCCTCTCTCTAAGAAGTAGAAAGGTTTTTAACAAAACTCCTGATTTTACACAGGCAGATCTCTGTGTTAGTTGCTGTCATAAGGGATTGAAAAATTCACTTTCCAAGCAGCTTAAGTTTTTTGCTCTTGAGTGTAATTCCTTGGACACTGAATACTGATAAGAGGCAGTTCTTGTATTCAGCTCAGAGGCATTTCTTGTATTCAGCTCATTACAGTGCCAGCACTTCAAGCCAATCAGTTGGTATGTAATCCTTTACTTTGTGGATTATGGGGACCACTGCTGACTCTTAGCACTGCAGTTCACTGTAGCCCTTACTTGTTCTCTTTACTTCCTTAAGGCCCTTTTGTTGTCCTGGTATTTATTCAGAATCTGTCAAGCTGCATGTGCTTCCCAAAGGATACCTTGGAAGGGGTGAAGTCATACCACCAAGATAAAAAGCAGCTTGAGCTTGTATCTAGTCCTATTCAACAGGACTGTTTAGCAGCACTTTGGCCTCAACTTTTAGTTCCTTCCTCTCCAGCCTCCCTCTTCCAGGGGAGGAATCCAATCTCAGCTCTGAATTCAGAATTCATATTCGTGGAGCTTGTGCAGGACTGGGCTCAGCTGGATCTGGCTAATCAGGGTGCTAAGAAACACAGTTCAAAGGCAGTAAGTGGCACAACGTCAGAGGCTAAGTGGGGAATGTTCAACAGGCCCCCCTAGAGATTTGGCCAAGGGAGGACAGAGAGAGGATCCTTATGTGGATCTGGGACATACGGAGGTAAGCTCTGCATGGAACAGAGGAGCTGCAGAGCCACTGAGGGAGAGGCAGGCTAGGAAGAAGTGGGTGATCTTGCAACCTTAAGGCTTGCCCACCTTTCCAAACCCTTGCATGCTTAACCAAACCTTCCGAAGTTTGTCCTTACTCAACAAATCAGCTTCTCTGAGCATGGGCATCGGATTCTTCATTTCTGAGATGTACAAGCAAATCTATTGCAGTCACATATGTGCCTGGGGCAGGTTGGTTTTGGGGAGCTGGGTGATCTTGTAGTATTTCTAAATTTTAGAAGCAGAAAAGGGTGAAGTGTGGACAGCATCAGCAGAGGTACTCAGCCACAAACACCCCAGTAGAGCCTGGGGGGGAACTGACCCTGGGCCTGAAGTGATTCACGCAGTTCGTTTAGAGCTGTTGTGCTCTTGGTGAAAAGGCAGTTCTGTCTTTCCAGGGCTGTTCCCAGCTTCACTGCTGGCACCAGAGGTGTGGCTGTGGCCTGCAGGTGGCCCTTCCCCTGGAGCAGCTCCAAGTGCTCTCGACGAAGGAAACCTCGAACAAATGCTGACGTGGCATGTTTCTGGATAGAGGCATGGATGTGTGTGTGTGCCTGGCTTGACGGAAGCTCTTCAAGCTTAATCATTTAACTTGGTCCTTTGTAGGCAAATAGCAGAGCTAATTGCTATCTTTGGCACGTGCAGCAGCAGCCTTTAGCTGAGCTCTCTGGTATGTGCATAGCTTTTTCTTTCCTACACCGAGTATCTTGGCATCCAGTATGTCTCAGATTTTAATGACCTAACTTCATACTTGTGCTGGTAGTTTCTGCATGTGCAAGACCCAACTCTTCCACCCCTTTCTCTGCTCCAGTGACATGGTATCGCTCCTTTTTCTTTCTTTCCATCTGCCATCCCTTCAGCTTTAGGTCTTCCACCCTAAAACTCCACACTGGTGTCTTGTCCTGGCAGCTTCTGCCACCATTTCTGCTTCCTGCTTAGCTTCCCTTTGGCAGTCTTCTACCTGTGTCTTTGAGGGCATAAGTCAGCAGAGCTTTTTCAATTTAACTGCTTGCCATCCACCAAGCAAAAGTGCTAGGGAAACCTTCCCAATTTCCTTACCCTGAGCGTGTGGTGAGTAAGGAACTACCCCTCAGTAGGAGCAGCAAGTTCTTTACAAGAACATTATCTCCAGGATGGAAACCAGCATATTTTCCAAGGCTTTTTGTTTGTACTTAATGACAGGCAATATTTCATTTACACAGGTATGTACCTATTGGCATTATGTTCCTTGTTGGGAGCAAGATTGTGGAAATGGAAGATATTGTGCTTCTGGTGACCAGTCTGGGAAAATACATCTTCGCCTCTATTCTGGGCCACTTCATCCATGGAGGAATCATTCTGCCACTTATTTATTTTGCAGCCACACGTCAAAATCCATATCGTTTTCTATTAGGACTTATCACACCACTTGCCACCGCTTTTGCCACTTGCTCCAGGTGGGTTTATGTGCTGCTTTTGGGATTATAGCCTGGTTATATATGGCACCGTAACCTGGTAATATCCAGTTTTAGTTTTAGGTGTGATTGTTGTTCCTGAGATTGCAAAAAAGAGACTTCAGAGAGTAGAGAGTCTCACTGCTGTCAGCAGCCTGCCACACATCACATACTGATAATTAGCTGTTGAAAACAATTCCTCAAAATATTGTGACTGTAGCATGATGCTGAGATGGAAATATTTGGGCAAAAGTAAAAGGTGAAAGTAATTGCCTTAAAAAGATCCTTCCAGCTGTCCTTTTAATTTTAAGTAAAGTGAGGATCAGTAGTGAGGGACTTTGTCATGAGAAGTTTACTTCTCCAAGTTCAGAAGGACCCAGAACAAGTTTAGACTAATTTTGCAGGAGCAAAGCAGAATTGCTTGCTAGTTCAAAGGGATTTAACATTACTGATTTCAAAGATCTGGCCTGATCAACTTTTATTTGTCATAGCCAAACTATTGAGCATGTCATTTACACTTTTCTCAATGACAAACACCTGATCAAATAACATAACTATACAAAATCATTTCAGGTCATCTCCAAAAGTAGATGCATGTCTGTCATGTCTGTCACAGAAGCTGAACTACTATTCATAAACCCTCTCCTACCCTAGGAGAGAGTTTATGAATAAAACTGTTTAATTTATAATGCAAGAAATAAATCCAAGAGTGATATTTTCTTTTAAAATTATTTTTCTGTTCATTTGAGAAGGCACTAGTACAACTTTAACAGAGATTGCTGTTGCATCTGTTGTGTTTATATTGTCATAGAATTAGAGGATGGTTTGGATTGGAAGGGACCTTAAATCATCTCCTTCTGGCCTCTCCTGCCATATTGGCATCTGCTGGTGTATTTTTGGTTTTGAGACTTGTAATGCTTCATACTGTGTTAAGTCATGTTCTTACTTCTGTGAGATTAGAGTCCTTATCAGCTATTTCTGGATGGAAGCAGATTATTAAATACCTCTGCTCAAGACTCAACAAGGAGCATCCCTCATTGCAATTATGACAGAGAGGGACTCTAAAATGGCATTGTTGTCTTGACATCCTGTCTGCAGCATGTTAGCAACATGAAAGGCTCGAGGCAGTGACTGGCCATTCAGCGCACCCTGATGTGTTTGATTTCTCCCTCTTCTCTGTTTCCAGCTCAGCCACTCTCCCCTCCATGATCAAGTGTATTGAGGAGAACAACAAGGTGGACAAAAGGATCAGCAGGTTTATCCTTCCTATTGGGGCCACTGTAAACATGGATGGAGCTGCTATTTTTCAGTGCATGGCAGCTGTGTTTATTGCTCAGCTGAACAACGTCGACCTCAACCCTGGGCAAATCTTCACCATTCTGTAAGTTGCTTTGCTATTGCAACCACATCCTTCTGGCCCCCAGAAACAATCAAGCCTGTGGTCCCTCTGTTAATAACAAGCAGTTTGCATTCCACATCTCTGACCTAAAGTTTGCAAACTGCCACGAAACATAATTATAGGGTGATTAAAGGATGGAGTCTTTAAACCTTTACAGGATTTTCCAGAGGCTCGATTTAATGCAAGGTAGAACCTGGGAGGGGTAGTTGAGCTCTGAAACAGACTTTGAGTGGTTTAAAGCTGCTTCTCACATGAAATTCCTCTCCTTCATTAAGCATCTCACTCCTCCATCCTCCAGTCACCATTAGGCTGGGTAATTTAGGCATGCCGCTCTACCCAGAAAGCATCCCCTGATTCCCTCTCTGGATGTCTCTGGATCCTCCTGCCACCTTCTCAGTTCCTTATGCCTCTGTTTCATACCAAAGACACTGCTCCTGGCTGCCTCTGCCCTTCCTACCATCACATTGATGGCTTTCCTGATCACACGTGTTGTTGTTGCCTTCCTGATTGCTTTGCTCCGTTATCCCCTCCACCATCTCAGTCCTACCTCCTTCTCTAGGACTCTCTCCCCTCCATGCCTGGAATATCCTCCCATATCCCATAAGGTGTCATTATCTTAATTTTCTGCCTGAAAATCCCTTTAAATGAGGATCCTAGAAGGAGTCCTGGCCCCTCACCATGCTGAGCAGTCATAGCTGCATCCAGCAGACCCCTCCTAGGGCTGGTTCCTGGAATTTTTTTACCCCCCCCCAGACTGGTTTTATTTCCTTCCTTATTACACTTCCCAGTATAATGTTCAACTGTTTAAGACAGGGCTGGGACATTATTACTTTTTTGGAGTTGGCCAAATCAGCCTTTTGGGTATTCTTAGTGGATCAGGTGTTAACACAGGCCCAGAGGACGATGCAGTGATAGCCCAAGGAAAGCTCAGTTGCACATAAAAATGTTTGTAATTCGTGTCTGTAGCACAAGCACCACAGGTTTCCAGCTCCTGATTTAGGATCGGTGTTGGAATGCAAACGAGACACAGAGAAGGGACTGTGCCCTGCCTGCATGGCAAGGTTTACCTTTATACATTTGGGGTCAGGAGATGTAACGTACTCAGCATGTTGGAATTGATACAGGACTTGGGAGTGGCTATGTTAGTAAGGCAGCAGGGTATAGTTGCATTGGTTGGTTGTTTTTTATTCTGAAAAGGCAATTAAGGTGTTAAACCCAGAGCCATTGCCTTGGTAACTGCTGTGGATCCTGCTGAGAGCTCTGCTCTGTACCAATTCCTGCGCATCAGCAGGCAGGAAAGGGTTTGCCTGGGAAGCAAACGATCTGCGCCTCCCATGCTGTAGAGTTTGTTTACAATTCCCATAGCGTGGAAACACGTGGTGCAAGTGCAAGCAGAGGGGAGCTGCGAGCTCCTGCTAACCAGGCATGGGAATTGATTTGCAGCGTGACAGCCACTGCCTCCAGCGTGGGAGCAGCCGGAGTCCCTGCCGGAGGTGTCCTCACCATCGCCATCATCCTGGAGGCCATTGGGCTGCCCACCAACGACCTCTCCTTGATACTGGCCGTGGACTGGATTGTGTGAGTACTTCAGGCCATGTGTATCTGCTGCTGCATGACATAGAAACATAGAATCGTTAAGGCTGGAAAAGATCTTTGTCCAACCATCAGTGTAGCACCACCACCATGTCCTCAAGCGCCACATCTACACATTTTTTGAACACTCCAAAGGACAGGAGAGAGAGGCAAAGCAGTGGCTAGCCATTTGCATCCTGTCTTCCTAAGGAAGTACAGTGCTATCTGTGTGTTCCACACCTGTACTTGCAAGTGCTTGGAGAGAAGAGTGGTAACCTAGCCCTTCCATTCACTCTGGGCTGCCCTCAGCCTGTGTTGTGCTGGCTGCCTTTGTTTCAAAATATGTAGTAGCATCCCTCTGTGGTCAGCGCTGTTCTAGTCAAGGAACTCAGCCTTGTAACAAAATGGGGAAGGAGGGAGGAAAGAGCCCTGTGTCTTGTTTTAATGCCAACTGTTTAGTTATCAGAGAGGACCACAATTGCAAGTTGAGTCTGTGTTAACTTAGGCTGCAAAATTATGAACAAGTCTCAAAAGACACTTCTTTATGACCCATAAACCTCCTCTATTACATCCTGGCACGCTAGTTTTGTATTATAGGACCAAAGATTAGGACAGGTGCTATGAGCAAGACATGCAGAGAACACAGTCATTCTGCCTGCTTTTGGAAGGACCCCTTAAGGTACGAGTTGCTATGGTTAAAAAAGAGATCTGGGTGCTCTGAGTCACTTTCTGGATAGGCCCAAAATCAGTTCCTGCTCTGAACTGGCATTTGAAAAATGCTAGCCTGGGGAAAGGGAAGAGGAAGGAGGTGGGCTGGGAGAAGCAAAAGGCCTGAGAAAGAGTAGTACCATTGCTGCAACCCACTGAGAGACCAGAACCAGGTATTGTAAGTTTGGCTGACCTTAAACCAGCTCTGGTGCACATTTTTAGTTCTGAAATATTGATGATACTTCTGTGGAGAACACCTTTGATAACACTACATCTCCCTTGTCCAGCTCCACTGATGTTAGTGGATCAGCAGGGGTGAATCAGCTTCCCTTATTGTGTTGTAACTCTCTTAAACTAAAAGCCTGCTGCTTTGGTTTTTGTTTCTGATCTTAACCAGGGACCGAACCACCACAGTTGTGAATGTGGAAGGGGATGCCCTAGGAGCGGGCATCCTTAATTACCTGAATGAAAAAGACAAGAAAAGCAGAGAGCAGGAGCTAAAGGAAGTCACCGTAGAAGCAATTGCCAACAACAAGTCTGAAACGGAAACATCGCCTTTGGTAACCCACAAAAACCCAGTCTCCAACACAAGCAGCACAGCAGACCCTGAATCCAAGGAATCAGTATTGTGAACTCGAGGCTGTTCGTCAAGACCTGCCCCAGAGGTGGCCCCGGGGACTTGTCAGCGCACCGGGACGTTTGCAGTGTGACCAGGGGCTTGGATGGCTCTTGGGAGTGCTCAATTCCTGCCTGTTTTGAAAATAATGCTGGCCTGGGGAAGGGGAGGGAGGTGGGGTGGGCAGGGAAAGGGTGTTGAGAAGGAACTCTCACTTTATAGTAGTATTTTGATAGCTCACATGTGTACATGTAAATGTGTTGGACGTGCACACACATGTATACATGTATGTGAAAACTGCCACTGAGACTTCTGGTTTAACAAGGAGGCTCATATGGGTTGGAGAGGGGGAGGCAGACAAACCCAGTATGTGCTTACTGTAGGGAAAAATTAGAGTGCTTATTTTGCTGCTGTTTGAATGGAAAAACAGTCTAGAAACTCCAGAGTGGGTGAAAATGTTGCTTAAATTTATTTTCTGGCCTTACCAACCGTTACAATCATGATATGAAGCAACATTTTTCTCCCACTCCCTCTCCTCTGATCCCTTACAAACGTCAAATATGCCCTTATAACTAGCTGCTTTTTTTTTTTTTTCTCATATCTGAATTAATAGCTTATTGGGGCTTGTTCCATTTCCCCACAGCATTGCAGCTCATAGCAGCTTTCCAGCCTTTTGGTGAGTAACTCCCAAAGTTTGGGACCAAACATAGGAGATCTTCATGCAGATCAAGGATTGGTTTTCTCCTTTACTCTAACCAAGCGTTAAGGAAAAAATCCAGAGGAAACAAAAATTTTGTTAAAGTAATCCCTCTGAGGCTGAAAAAAATGTAGAGTCTGTTCCAGCATAAATATGTCTGAAAGAGGCTTGCCTGTGACAACATCAGTAAATTCAGAAGTCAGCTCTCTTCATGAAAACACAGATGATCCTCTGCTAGCACACCACGTCCTGCTTATGTTTATTTAATGGGTCAGTCCAAACAAGTTAGGTCATATCCCTCTTCCAGCAAAATTGAGCAGGGGAGGAAAAAATCTGAACACACATCATGTGGGAACTGATGACAGGCAAGTCTGAGTCTTGGCTTGAAAGGAGAAGAGGTGAGTTTATAACCCCAAGTAGTTCAGTGATCTATGTGTGCTGGGGCAGCTGCCTACCTGTTCCTGCTTGGAGTTTGGTCCTGCTATAAATGTTCTTCTGGCAGCAGTTTACATTTAGTAATTCTGAGTGGTGATGGGCCAGGGTAGTGCTTAGTGGCAGATGGCAACCTTTGCTAGGGGCTGAGCCAAGTGCTTCTAGATTCCCACTCCACCTTTTTTCCTGTACAATGTTCTTCCTGAATTTGCACCCCAAACTTGAACAAAGTCTGGCAAACTCATTCCAAATATCTCGTTGATTTATCTTGGCATTTTGGATGCCAATAGTTAGCCTGGACTTGTGGACATTTTCCCTTGGCTGCTTTAACAAGAGATTGCACATGGTCAGTCTCCACACTTTTAATTCAGCAGTATATATTTACACTTAGCTTTGATATAAATATTTCTAAGCCTCCCTTTTTCTTTCTCCTCTCTTGCTTCAGAGGAAGCTGTCTTGGAAGGATTTCAGCACTAGGAAGAGGCAACTCCAATTTCATAGCAGCAGCTGCCTTCCTTTGCAAAGCATCCTCCCTGGTAAAGGGATTTTTAAATGAATTTTGCAGAATGAGATGTGGCCACCCCTGAGGGAGAACGCAGTGAGTGCGCCATGCCTGGCTGGTTAATCTTGTGCAGCAGAGTTATGCAGACAATCCAAGTAGGAAAGGATTAGTCAGCCCACTGAGAAACTGCAGGTGGAGCCTCTTTTTAACCAGTTTATTTATAACCTTGTCCACAAAATTTGGTCATTCCTTGGCTCGTCTTCAAAATGGAAGGAGACAAACACAGTTCTGTAGGAACATCCTTTGCCCAGCAGATCAAGCCCCACTGGAACTTTGCATTTCCTTGCAATAGAATCATCCCAACTTCTTTCATCTCAAGATGAAAGTTTTAAGTCTAAGTATCTCTTTGAAAAATCTGAATGCACCGGAACTCCAAATACTTTGATTTTAAAGCAGCGTATGGACATCTCAAGGAAGCTGAAAATCGTGACTGTTCCCTGTGGGGTGGATTCTGTAATTGCATTTTATCCCCCGTTAGACATTTATCTCCTCTGCTCTTGTGAGACCCCCTGGAGTACTGTGTACAGTTCTGGTGCCCCCAACAAAGGAAGGACATGGAACTGTTGGAACAAGTCCAGAGGAGGGCCACAAAGTCCAGAGGAGCACCTCCCCTATGAAGACAGGCTGAGAAAGTTGGGGCTGTTCAGCCTGGAGAAGGGAAGGTTGTGTGGAGACCTCAGAGCAACCTTCCAGTATGTGAAGAGGACCTACTGGGAAGCCAGAGAGGGACTCTTTGTCAGGAGCTGTAGTGACAGGACAAGGAGTAATGAATACAAACTGAAAGAGGGGAAATTTAGGTTAGATACTAGAATGAAATTTTTTACTGTGAGGGTGGTGAGACACTGGAACAGGTTGCCCAGGAAGGTTGGGGATGCCCCAGTCTGTCTGTGTCAAAGCCAGGATCCCAGGAAATGGGAAATCAAAGCAAATACCCCAGAGTTGTCTTAGTATTTTCCAGTAGCAATGCAGCAGCTCAAAGTCTTTGCTGAATGTCTCTCCCAGTCCCTACTAGTGGATTGCGATGTTTTCTTCCATGGGAATGTCTAGTCCCATGTAAAGCTTGTGAAAACAGACAGATTTAAGGAGGTCAAATCATTCTCATAGCAGGAATTTGATCAAGGAAATCTGACACTCCTTCTCCTGCAAACAGATGCCATGGGATTTATAGGAACCGTGAATATTCAGCTCTTAACCTGCCAGAAATCTCTAGTCTTAGAGAAGCCCTACTTTAGACTTACAAATTTGCCAGGTCTTTTGTTGTTTGTGCACAACAAGAGGGATCCATGGAAGCAGGAATGCTGGGTAACTGCTGCTTGTCAGAACATCTTTTTTTGCTCTTTTTTGTGTCATTTGTGCCAGAATTTACATTTCTTATTTTTCTGTGATGTTCTCATTCCTCACAATAGCCATAATGCATCTTCTAGGGTTCTCTACCTGAATTTTTTTTTTCTTACGGTACAAGTGAGTACAAGATCCAATATTAAACTCTCTCAGACTGTAAAAAATGTTAACACATTCCAACGACTGCCATTGTAACAACGTGAATCCTGATGGAAAGCCTGATGGGATAAAAGACTTGCCATTTGCTTCAAGTGGTCAAGGTCTTCAGGTAAGGCCACTGGGAGAAAAATCAAAGGGCTGTTGATTGTGGGGATGTGCATTTTAGATTCTGTTCTTGACCTGCTATGCAAGGTCTCCATGCAGCCTCTTTCCAGGAGGGAAAGGGAGCTGGGAAGGTCCTCAGCAGCCATGCAGGTAGTACCTGCCCTGTTCTCACCCAGGCACTCCACAAATCTGGTGCCAGTGTGGTACTAAACTCCAGTGTCTCTTGGCTGGACGTCTGTTTCTGTTCTCCTGACTTGACTGTAAATTGGAAACCTTTAGTCAGTTGCTTTCTCTTTCAAGAGGAAATAAATTCCGTCTAGAAAACACGATTTTTCTATTTGATTTTAGGGGGTTTTCTTTGTTTTTTTTTTTTTTTTTAATGGAAGGTACAAATTCTCTTCTTAGAAAAGGAGGCTACAGACACCTCCTGTCCTATCCTCTAGTACAGGAAACTGCTTTTTGAGAGAGAGATGGAAATCGCGTGTGATTCTTGGGGTTTCCTGTGTAGGGCCAGGAATTGTACTTGATGATCCCGATGGGTCCCTTTCAACTCAGCATATTCTATGATTCTATGAAGTATTAAAGAGAAGATTCTGCAAGCCTCTGGCATATGCACTCCTACTTTGCCTCCGATGCCATTTGTTCTTCCACTTTTACTTTTTTTTTTTTTCAGTGAAGTTTCTTTGACTGTTTTGAACCATCTTTTATTTCTTCTCCAGGATTTGACTTTTCACTCCATGCTTTATCCATCACTGCCTGATCTCATCCCGTTTCCTGGAACACCATATGTTCTTATGTTTCAGTGGCTCAGGAAGAAATGGGAGAGTGAACAGAGTTTTGAGGGCTCCAGTTTGCATTCTGCCTTGCTCCTGTCCATAGCTCAGCAGAGGTTTGTGAGCCTCAGTAATTTAGAGTTGTTCTGAGAGTGCAGAGCAGTACCTGTCTCTCAAACTGAGAAAGGTTCTTGTTCTGTGCTGCAAGATGTGGCTATAGATGCCTGAAAAGTTGTAGTGAGCAATGGAAGGTGCCAGCACTTGGCTGCCATCAGGATATTTGCAGTAAAGACCCATTATTCCTCAGAACTGAGCTTTAGCTGAGTCTTGGTGTTGGTAATTGCACCACGAAAACTCGGTAATTGCAATGGACTTTAAACACTTTTGGAGATGTCTCTTGCAATCAGGATGGCTTTTGTGTTGAGAGCAGCCCGGGGCCAATCCCAGGGCTTCCCTGCAGGGATGTGACAAACAGGACTGTGTCCTGTGGACATAACAGAGATGTGGAGCCAGCCAAAGTACCGAATCTGCTGGTGAAACAATCTCTGCTTTGTCTTTTCTGGGCAACCCTGTTACTGCCTGAAGAGGCAGCTGGAGGTGGCAAGAGTTTGGGGGGACGGTATGAGGGGCAGGAATGTTTCTGGTGTGCTTGCTCTGTTCCTAAACTCTTCCCTGGGCATTTGCTGTGGTTGGTGCCAGAGGTGGACATGACCCAGTGTCGCCATTCTTAGACTCGTTCTTCTGTGGTTCCTCCTTATTTTACAGCAAGAATAATGAAAGCTGAGGTGTTTAGCAGTTCCTCTTTCAGCCAAGCCAAAGGCCCTGGCATCTCTGTGAATGACTGACCACCCTATCACATGTTGTAGGCTGCGTCCTCGAGAGCTTGCAAAAAGGGACAAAACCAGCACCTCTTTCTGCAAAGATTTGCATTGTTGGTCAACAGTCTGGGCTAAATCTTCACTCTGGTCCTCTGCTAACATAGTGCATTTCTGCAGCCACTGGAAAGCATTTTCCTGCTGGAAATCATCATTTTTAATCCTGACCTCC